AATGGTAAGTCCTGTAGAATGTAATGGAAACATGCTAACTCTAAGGGACAGGGAAAGAAAGCGGCATTTGCAAATTGTTTAGCTCAAAATGCTAGAGAGATATAGTAGACTTTCTTTCACTTATTTTTTCTAAATTTCCCAACTCCGTGGAGTCATCAGCTGTGCATTTGTGATGTCTACCTCTCCGTTTTATAACCAGGTCATTCCAAGCTGCGCAGCTGTTTTGACAGCAGTGTCATTTCTATATGTGATTTCATGATTTTTTTTTTTTTTTTTGTTAGGATTGGTTGTCACTTTGAAAGCCACAAATTATCATATATAAAAATGAATTTTGGTGGGAGTTTAACTTAATGTTGGTTCCTAACCTAATGAAGGGTAGGCTTATAATGTTAGTGCTTTTGTTTTTTAATGAAGTACTTCTGCCTGTTCTACAGAATCCAGTGGAACTGAACTGAACTGGATTCAGTGTTTCTAAGGACTGCTAGTGAGCCTCTCTTGGAATAAGAATTCGGGTATAACTGTTTGTTCATCTTAATGTTGATTTCTTATTGGGCAGTCATTCAAACTATAGAACTGTATTGGTCTTGTGTCTTAATTTCTTAAATTAAATTTCTACGTTTAAAAGAAAACTCCCTTGTTTGTCCTGCATTGTATAACTAATGACTTTTCTGTTTGGACAAACAATTGGTCTGTGGAGTTTATTACGGCAAAATTGAAATTGTTTGCCAACATGTATCGAACTGTTTTTCTTATAACAACTTCCTTTTTCTTTTTTCAGTGCAGCATCTTATTTTCTTCTTTCTTTTTTTTTAACTAACCAACAATACTTTAAAATTTTGCACCTGTCTTTTTTTATTCTTTTTTCTTTTTGTATGGCATGATTTAAAGGTCAACACTGCTCTCTCAATGTAGGTTGAGTGCTGCATGTGTACTTTTCAGAGCAGTAGTGTGAGGAAGCTTGCAGTGGAATGGCAGGACGGCCTCATCCTTATGACAGTAACTCCAGTGATCCAGAGAATTGGGATCGGAAATTGCATAATAGACCTCGTAAACTTTGTAAACACTCAAGGTAGGTGCTATGTACCATCTATTGCATTTCAACACTACAACAGAAATCCATTCTAAATACTACTGTATCTGGTTGTGGCAAGTCCTGTCATAAACTTTATAATTCCCTTTAAAAGGAATGCCTAACCTTATTTATTAGCCTTCCTAATCTTTGTTAAACCGTGTGCTTAAAATATATGCAATTTGTTCCTTGCATGCAAATTATCACTCTCTAGGGCACTCTCTTTCTAAAGCTATGTGTCAGATATTGCTTTCCCCTTATTTCCCACACTGTGAGAATGTTTTCTAAATGCTTGCTTTGAAGACATCAAGAAATCTACTAGTGATTTTTCAGCAAATGGTATTCAAAAGATAAACTAAGCAGAGCAGTTAGTTACCTACCAAATGACCATGAGGAATCCTGTTGCTGGAAGTATGCAAAACATCAAAATAAGAGTACATTTTTCAAGCACTCTGGTTCTTTATAAACATAACTAAAAATATTTATGTTAGTGAGAGTTATGTTTTCTTACCTGTACACGGGTAGAGAACCAAGCACCATATTCAACAACAGCTTCTAAATTCTGATGTTTTTATTGTGTGGATTAAGTGAACTGGACTAATCCTAAAGTTTTCTATGGATGATTAATATTGAGAGTTTCTTCCTGCGATTATACTGCATCTTTGCTGAGAATCAGAAAGCTTTCAGAGGCACCTGTGTAATTACAGGCTTATTTGTGATGTTACCTTTACAATGAGTAAATAGCGTGACTAATATAGAATTGACAAGGGAGCTACCACCACTGATAAGTATAATCTTATAGAAAAAACTTTATATGGTCAATCTTGATATGAAGATGATGAAGTCTTTAGAGTCTTTGTGGTGCAGTATCAGTAATGAACAATCTAGGAGTAACAGGACAGAGCGTGAGTCGAGGACTCTTCACTGTTGGGGAACAAAGTGTAATTGCGAATGGGCGCTTCATTACTAAGTGTAGTTCAGGTAGTTCATCTCTGATCCTGTGCTGCCTCCCATGCCTGGTGATCTGGAAGAAAAGCTAAAGTTGATACTGATGCTGATGACTCATGATTGGAGTGCTAAATAAAAAGGATTCATTAATCACATGTGATCTGAGTAACTTACAAACTGTGTGCAAGCAATCAAGTATCTTTAATAGGGTATCAGCAGCTCACAAAACAATTTATAATGACTCTGAAAATACATGAGAGTTCTTAAATATCTTGTGAGCCATGAAAAATTCAAAGGTTAAGTGGTGACTTGATCAGTCTGTAAAGATCTATGTGGGAAACAGCGATATGATGATCTTTAGTCAGTAGGCAAATCTGCAACAAAATGTAATAGCTGGAAACTGAAACTAAATAAATCTCGTCTAGAAAACTGGTGCACATGTCTTACCATGTGAGATTTGTGGTGCATTATCTATTTTGGGGAAATATTTAAATAAAAAGCCGTTTGGCTTTCTAAAAGAGATATTTGATTCAGATAGGAATGGAGAAAGTCTATAGCTGTGCCTGTCAGAAAGACAGGCTATGGTTGATTGCTTCAGAAATCACAGATAAGCGGTTCACACATGGCAACATAAGGGTATATGCGTTGGAATAAAGCATGTATAAATAAAATCAGGTGAACTTCTAGCAACACACAATCCATGTTTCCAAAATTTTATGGAGGTATGTGTGACAGGGGATTAGTACTCAAACCAACATCTGATTTATTTATTTATTTTTTTTCTAGATAATGTAGATGCATTTTTGGAAAGCTTTTTGAATGAGAATCTGGCTAAGAGTTTGAGATCATAATAAAGTAATGAATAAACCAAGGAAAAATATTTTGTAGTATTGTTCCTTTAAGATACTTCACTACTTCAAAGAATAACATTAATGGAAAACAGTACCTTTTATTCAAAAATTTAAACTAAATGATTTGTTTTGGGTTGAATGAATAGGGGCATATTAATATTGCTTATGACTTAACTGACATTTTTTCTCAACAGAAATGAAAGCCTATGTTGTATTAAAACAACAGTTTTGGTAGCCAGCAGATTTAGACAACAGATTTAGTTGGTACTAAATCTATTTTTCTAGTTTTGAGCGTATCAGTCCCAACTTCCAAAACTTCTGGCAAGTTGTGCTGTTGTTTTCTCTCTTTTTTTCTGTCAATATTTTGGGATAGGCAATGTAACGGAGCTCTGAGCAAACAGAAGGAAGAGGTGCAGAAAATGAGAACCAAAACTGTAATCCAAATGACACCCCCCGCCATGAATCTAAAGACTCCGACAGGATGAAATGTTAAAACTGACTGTAATTAGTCATGCAGTCAAATGGCCATGTTTGTCTGAGCTGCTATGGAAGTCATTGGGATGCTTTTTATTTAAGTACCAGATTAAGACAGAAGTTAACTTTTGGGAATCAAATGTTGACAAGACAATGATTAAGGTTCAAGGAAGTAGTCTCTGAATTGATGGTTTTTTTGCTGAGTATTACTGTTATATATTTTCTATTTAATTTTTCTATTTAATTTTTAATGGAAGCTTATTAGCTTCCTATGTGTAGCTTCTGTGTGATGCTGTAGTTTGGTATTACTGGAAGACTTTCGTTCCAATTCTGAGACACTAAGTGCTTTCTCTGAAGCTGTGATGGAGAATTTTGGCTTAAACTTACCTCTTTCTTATAATTTGTCCTGGTTTCCTCCATGTATATTCTGTAGTCTCGTTGACAGTGTCCTTATTTTTTGTTCAGTTTGAGGCAGATGGCTTTTCTATCGTACTTTTGGTTGGGTAACTCCTGTGGCTTATCACGGAGGGAACAAATGGCATGTAAAGACTGATAGTTTTTCTCCTAGGGGGTGGAGGGAGAATTCTGGGAGCCTTCACAAAATCCTAAAACCGGAGTTAAATTCACTGGCTCAGCTAGTTCAAATGGGTGAGCAGAAATTCTCCTGCAGTGTGTACAGAGCTGACCCCTCAGTCCAAATGCTGCTGCCCTCCTGCCTCCCTCAGGAAAAAGTCACTTTCTTGATGACTTCTTTATATCCTGAACTTATTCTTCCCCTTACTCCTTCAACTTCCATCATATTTTCATTCTGCTGCTTCTCACATCTTGATTTTTATTGGTGATGATGCCTAACCTGCTTTTCAACTCTTCCTCCAATGCAGTCTGACCTCTTTAAACAACCCCTAGGCATTCCAAAAAGAATAGCTTAAAAATGCTGCAGCGTACGACTTATTTGACCTTCTCCAAAGGGAGAGGGGGGCAACTCTTAGAGGAGCTTATTCTGATATAGGCAGTAATTTGTGATGTTGCTTTTGCTGTGTTTGTGCTCAGCAGGCTTGACTTGTTATCAAGCATTTGACCTATTAGTATGAGGATGCCAGGGTATCAGGAGCTGTAAGCTGCACTTAGACTGTCACAAAGTAAGAGTTTCCCCCTAAAGTTGTGCTTGCTTTTGTCTGGCGTAGGCTCATTGGAAAAGGGATGTTTCTAGCCCCGAAATGGAGACTGTGCAGTCGCGTTCTTAAAAGGCTATTTTTGTACCCGTGCATGAACTTAGCGAAAGGTGAATTCCTGTTAAATACTGATTGTGGGAGGCTTTGCAGGAACAGATTAAGTGTCCCCCGCAACTTGCCTGGATGCAACTGCCCGTAAAAGCAGAGGAGGTGTGTGGCAAGGGACAACGGCAATGCCCCTTTGGGCTGCAGCGTTTGCGTGCTGGCGCGCGCCGAGCCGGCAGGACCCGAAATAGCTGCGCAGATGGCACTTGGCAGCGGAGCGAGGAGCTCGCCTCTCGCGCGCTCCGCGCCCTGCCTGTCACACGCGGGACCCAATGGCTGCCTAGAGATGGGCGAATGGCAAGTGCGACTCCGGCTCGCGGGGGCTGCGGGGTCACACGTCAGGACTGCACTACGCATGGCTGAGTCAGTGACTGAGAGAGAAGGAATTGAATTAATACCTAGCGGGGCTTGCGTCTTTGAACACTTAATGGACGGCGGAGCTGCGATCCTCTTATCCTTGAGGGGGAAGATAGAGGAGGAAGTAAGGCTGGCTGACGGTGCAGTGAGCTACTAACGAGATGATGGAAATATCAAATATGCTGAACTTAAGTAATGCCAAAGGATGCTGATCTGGCTTCCAAAGCTGCCTTTTTGCAAGGAACAGAATTCCCTTGTGCTCTGATTTCAAAAATATTTGCTTGCTTTTGTCTTTCTTCCCCACCAGATTCCAGAGGAAGGTGCGTATCTGCTAACAGCCTTTAGGAGAAGAGTGCAAGGAGAAGTGATGTCCTTTGTGTGTCCTGGGCAAGGCAAATGTCTGCAGACAAAGAGCGGGCTTCAGGGGGAGGAAGAAGGACTTGAGCGCTGTCATTGTGTTAAGTCATAGCAGCAGGAGCAGAATGGAGCTGGTTATTTATTTATTTAAGCCTCACAGAAATTTCACTGTGACTTAGTGTATAGCTTTAAGGCTCTATATTCACTTTATGTGAATTTATGTGATTGTGTGAATGCAAGCATCCTAGGAAAGGATCTCAGTTTGTATGTTAAGAGGAGTTAGTTAATAAAAGTTTAGAAGGGAGGGGGGAAATGACCGAGTGTCCTCGTTAGCATTTCTTTGCTTGGCTTTTAGTTAAGGTTTTATGGTGTGTGGTATTTTTTTTTTCCCCCTGGCAATAAGTGTTTTGGTTTACCACCATAATTGTATGCAAATAAGAGGCAGTTTTATAAAACAGTATGTTTATTGGCAGTGCAAAGTAAGATGCACATGAACTCTGAGTTGGAATGTATGACATTTGTTTTGGTGGCAGAATTAATTCAGTTTAATGACTTCTTTTAATCATTAGTAATATATTCAGAGCAATATGTTGTTATGTATCGAGACAAAGAGGATCTCTCAACAGATGATTCAAAAATCTCCTCTTTTAAATTGCTTTAAAAGGATTCTTTTTTTTCTTCTTTAAAAAGCCTCTTGCCTTACTGCAGAAATACAAAGCATGCCAGTATGACAAAACTGCCATTTTGATGGTCCTATCTTCCTCCTTTATATTAAGCAGTTTTGCCTAAATAAAGCTTTGAGTTTATTTGCTTTTGTTTGTGTGACGGCTGCTTTTAAAGAAAATGCTTCTTTTCTCCTCTTGCAAAACCAGTTTTCTTCGGCAGCAATTGAGGAGGAAAATAAATCCTCGCTTACTCACCCTGAAGTTTTTTTTGCATGGCTGCAGTGTTAGGGTTCCAGTGTTCCTTTGGAGCCAGGAAAGAACAATATATGGAATGTATGGAGATTGTCTAAATATATCAATATTCATTTTTTTCCTATAGGAAATCAGTGGCTAAAGCAAGAATAGGAAGTTAGTGTGTGGATTTAGAATTTACTTTTCCTTTTGCAGTTGTAAACTAAAGATAATTTTAAGCTCTCAGGAGAAAAAAATTGCTTTTGTGTCTCTGTCATTGCTGATACTTTCCCCAATGCAGTTCATAGCTGCTAGTCCTCAACTGGGAAATAGTCGAAGCTCCAAATAGCAAATACTTCTTTTTAGAATGAGTTAGAGATTGGAAACTATAGGGGCTTTCTCGGAGGCTAGAGACAGCGTGGCGTGCCAGGAGCATCCTTGATTGCTGCAGGCTGAGGTTGCAGGATTGTACAATGCCGCAGCTGGGGGCCGTGGAGGACTGAGGCTTCCTGGCACTTCTAAGCATCGGTAATTTGCTGCAGCTTGAAAAAAACCTGCTATGTTACCTGGTCTGCATAAGGTCTGGGGAGCCCTGGCACTTGCTGGTGGTTTCCCTGGTTCGCAAAGGGGCTCCTGTCAGTTGTGGAGCTGAGCTCCGTTGCCCAGGCTGCGGAGCTCCCAGTTTGCCTTATCCACGTGGTTTGGGATCGTTCTGTATTTAAGTCCCATTTTGGGTAAAGCTAAGCTCTGATGAACAAATTGCACTGCAGAATCTTTTTAAATAACTTTACTAAATAACTTTAAATAACTTTACTGTAGTTATGCTTTAATACTTTAATGAGTAAAATAAAAAGACTCATAATAAGGCTTAGATTAGTAGTGTAAAACAAACGATTTCTGCAGTTCTTTCAGTGCCTTCCTTACATAAGTATCTCTTTCAAAAATCAAATTCACTTAGTATTTCCAGTGTCTCTTCTTTTCCTCTGAACACTTGCAACTTTTTTCTAAAGCCTCTTTACAGTACAATCTCAGTGCTCTTTTGTATGTAGTACTGGCCACAGGTGTAGGATTGATGCTCCTTTTTCTGACCAACTTACATACTAGCTAAGTAACACAGTTTTCAAACTCAAATTCAGCAAATGATTCTTCTGATCTGCTAGATCCCACCTCCTTTTTTTATATGTATATATTTCTATTTTATTTTTGAACTCTTTTCAGTTCTAGTTGTCTGCAAGTGGAATGGGACATGTTCCAGCGAGGTCTTCCCGTGTCCCCTTGTCCTCCACCTTGCTTGCTCCCTGCACCTAGGTTTGCTTGCCCAAAAGTAGCCAGTGCCAGTAGTGGTGCAAAAGTAGCTGCAATATTAAGAGCTGAGCACGCCTGGCATCTCTTCCGAAATGACTAAGGAGGAAGGCTCCTGCCAGCTGAGTCAGTGCAGCTTCCTGTAGCACCTGTTTTTCTCTGCTCCTGTGAAGAGATTATTAACCAGGGCTCCCCCTCCTTCAGTGCGGCCTCTGAATCATTGCTGGGAAGGTAATGGGGCCTCAGATAGTTTTCTGGTATTAAGAGTTGCATTTTAATGGCGTTCTTCTCTGTTAAAGGGTAATTTGTGTCTGCTCTGCCAAAATATGTGATATGCTTGCAAGTCCTTGTTGAGTTGTTGTTTTATTTCTTAGAGTGCTTTTGTTACTGAGAAATAGAGAATCGTAGGTTTGATACTATGGAATAGATACCTGCAAGACCATGATTTTTCACTGCATGGTTGAAAATATTATCTTGGGGGTAGGATTAAAATGCTTCCTGGGCAAAGGTCTGAGCATGTCGCTTCATTAGGGCTTGCTGAGATGACTTGTCTCCAGGCTGCTGCATATGTGTTTGAGTCCCTCTGGCCCTTTCCTTGTGAGGTGGCTATACCATGAGGTGAAAATGTAAAGCAATTAAGGGCAGATGAGGTAGGATTTTTCTTTTTTTTTGAGTTTGTGACTTTTTTTTGGTTAAGTTTAGCTGTTAGTATCATCTTTCTGAGGACACTGAATGAAGTATAGATGATTATTATCTGTAAGCAGGGTTCAAACTTTGGTTACAAGTGTTAATCATAAGCTGCAAACCATCATTTCCTCTAATTTGTGGGCACACTTCATACCTATTAAAATGGTTATCTTCTGTATGCATTAGTATATAGGTAAGGAAAGATCAAAGCTTCTTCTAAATTGTTGATGTTCATGAAAAGGATATTTGAGAATCTCAGTCTGCCAAATGTCTATGAGTTTATTTTTCATAACACAGAGCACATCTCTGTGACAGAGAAGCAGAACAAGTAAGGAGACGTGTTAGCCATATCTTTGTACATCCAAAATAGCACTGGGCGTCTTGTGGAGAACCCTGTTGCCTCTAAGGAGACTAGTTTAGTTCTTGGACTGCACATCTGGGCATTTCCAGTCATGGGCGAGGCGTGTCGTTGTTTTGCCTCATTCAGTAGACCTCTTCACAAGTAGAAGCTGCACGTCTTATTGCAGCATATCTTCAGCTTGGCAGGAAACAGTATTGGGGTGGATTCTCTCTGCACCAGACTTCTGCTTTAGCAGTTGAGCCGCTTCCATCGCTTGCAAAGCCGAGAGGTACATTTCTTATTCTTCATGTCCTAGTGGCCATTTTGTGCCACTGTGAGCACCAAGATAAACTATATCATAAGATATGCAGTAGCTTTTTGTCCTAATTTAAATTCTTCCTCTTGTATCAATCACAGATACCTGAAGCTGAAACTGTAAAGCTAAAACATTTCAGGGTAGATTTTCACTTTTTAGAATAGCCTTGATTTTTTTTTTCCTTTTTCAAAGAGCAGTAGAAAGAGGACACCCTGTGCAACTTGCTTGTACAGTTCATACTCTTAAATTTTGCTGTGCTGTTCCTAGCTAAGCCATTATCGCCAGCTCTTTGTGCCCTTGGTTCGTGTAGCATTCCTAGCCGACGATTCTGAGCTCTCTTGGGCAAGTTGTTGGGTTCACAAGCTGTAAACAAGTGGGTCTTCTTGCAGTGCTGTTTCTTGGTCACAAATAAGTGGCAAATAATGATCCTTCTGGATCTGCTGGACCTTGTAAGTGTCCACGCTTCTGTCTCAGTAATCCAGTACCTGGGTTTTTAAAAAAGTGCTTTAGTTAAACTTCTGCCTCCTAAATGAGGAGTGTCATCGTGTCTGTGCTCAAAAGGCAAGTAGCAAAAACCTCATTTGCAAATTGCATGAGATGCAAGGAGAGAGATGTGTCCATCCTCATACATCTGTTATGAGCAGGGCAAGTTAAAGATGGATGCATTTTTGCCCAAATTCATTATTAAAGCTTTTGAAGTTGGTGTTTAATTTTCACTTTCTGAAAATGCTGGACCCTGAACTAAGATGTCTTGTTGGTAGGTTTAGTAATTAATTACAAAATAAAACCAGTGTCTTAATTAAAGAAATGTAACATATGACTTAGTCTAAAATAGCCTAAAGCTGTTGCAATAAATTCTGCTGAATTAGAACAAATGTCCAGCTTGTTAGTGACGGTGCTATAGGTCTTAATTTTAATGGTGTAACTGATATGTTTGCTGGTTGGGCGATGATCTCTTAGGAATTGCCTCTTCTAAGAGGAACTGGGGATTAAAAGAAGAATACACAGGCCAATGTGTCTCCATACATTAACTAGCTTAAGGCTGACCTCCTTTTTAAAGGGCAAGTTGCAATAAAAGCCAAGTGAGTACTGGAAGTCTATAATTTGAGATTCCTTTTTAAAACATGTTTATATCAGGGCAAAGAAAATGACCCTTAGCTTTTAATTTCTTGATTTGTTTAGAACACTTAGTGTCACATTAAGAATCAAAGTAAAATGCTCAGGTATTATTGGCTTACTGATTCTGGAAGGGATTTCTATGAGTTCAGGTTTGTGGGCAGGCTGCTTAAGCAATGTTTCTGTAGATCACACAGAAATAAACAGGTATTTCTTGCTATCTATCTATTTAATGCTCCAAATCATTGTTCATGTTTGTTGATGTAAGCGTAAACAAAGCAAAGAAAATGGAGGTGGGTAATGTTCATCTTCAAAACATGTGCATGGAGAATAAATTGTAAATGCCTTTTAAATTTAAATGTACAATGTTTCTGAAACTTTGAAGCGCTCAACTCTTATTTCTCTTTTCAGTACCTCATCTCGTATTGCTAAAGGACTAGACTGTACAAAAATGAGCCTTCATGGTGCTAGTGGTGGACACGAGAGATCAAGGGACAGACGCAGATCAAGTGACAGATCTCGTGACTCGTCCCACGAAAGAGCAGAATCTCAGCTCACTCCGTGCATCAGGAACGTTACTTCGCCAACAAGACAGTATCACTCTGGTGGGTTCAGAGTCCAGAGCCTTTCAGGATTAAAAATCCTACTTACCGTTTTCTTAAAAGACTAAAGCAAAAAGTATTCTTTTCAGTGTTGGTACAACAAACAGAGTTTTACCATATGCCCCCTGACCTGGGAGCTCAAACCTTTTTTGATAGTTTTTTTTTTTTTTTTTTTTTTCCCCTCCTCTCTCTCTCTCTTCAATCCACAGCCTGTGGACATTCTTATATGATGTTTTTATTTGATTTCTATATTGGGCCTCTATTTCCTTTCTTCTTATTTGATTGAAATCCAAGAGCAATTTAATTCTTCTGAGAACAGATTGACTGAATATTTTTGCTTGCTTGATAGATTTTAGATATATAGGAATGCAGATAAGAAATTGTATTAAAACAAAAAAATTGGCAGCCATTTTGAACTGCAGCACTAAACACAGGATCTTTGATGCACAGCTCCTGAATTATGCTGAGTGGCTTTTTCCAAAATGGAGTGCTAAATTATTCTTGTAATGGCTTTAGCAAGACAAGGTGGCTTTGTCTAAGTAGTAGAAACTTTGGAATATCCTGTATAGACAATTGTTATTTCTGTAGGTTTTAAAAATTGTTATTATTAGAATATCTTTAGTTCAGTTTGTCTTTGACTTAGGAAGTTGCCATGTTGTTTCTTCGGAGAAACAAGTTGCATAGGACTCATGCAGATCTTAATGTTGTTTAACATTTTTCTCCCTTCCCCGCCTCCCCACCAAGATCGAGAGAAGGATCACAGTTCATCTCGCCCAAGCAGCCCTCGTCCTCAGAAGACTTCCCCGAATGGTTCCACTGTGAGCATGGGGAACAGCAGCAGAAACAGCAGCCAGTCGAGCTCAGATGGGAGCTGCAAGGCTGGTGGGGAAATGGTATTTGTGTATGAAAATGGCAAAGAGGGAGCTCGGAACATAAGAACATCCGAACGAGTAACGCTCATAGTGGACAACACTCGGTTTGTTGTAGATCCTTCTATCTTCACAGCACAGCCTAACACAATGTTGGGCAGGTTTGTGTCCTTTTTTTCTTCTTTAACTGTAGAAGAGAGTCATTAAAAAAGTATATATTAAGAACTGTATTTAAATAGTCTGTTAACATTTAATATTACCACCTTGTAAAGATGTTTAAGGTAAAAATCGGATAAAAGTTCTTGTGTTTGACAGAGATGCCAGTAGATATCTTTTACCTAGATATATTTGTGAAATACTCATTTCCTTCTGTCTTTTTGAGCATTACTTCTGTATTCAGTCTGCCCTATGCTATCTCCAGAGCAGGGAACGTTGCTGAGTGTCTTTCAAACTAGTGAAAAGGAGAACCTTGAAGGAACTTCTTAATTTTATATAATGGGATACCATAACAACATTCAGGCTCTGCAAAGTGGTTTTCTGAAATCCTTTTTGAACAAGGACACATCAAGTGGATATTGTTGCTACAGTGTAGCAGTTAGTGTCTCTCCACTAAGAGACTTAGCATTCAAAATTGAATGAAAGTCCCCAGAGGGGAATGTAATACTCTATATGGAAGCTCTGGAGAGCAATATATTTTACAGGCTTAATTGTTAGAAAAAGATCTTATATTTTCCTTGCTTGCTTACTTGCAGAAGAGGAAAATGATAAAAAAGATAAAGAGAAGTAATCATTAATACAATGAAATTCTTGATATAAGGACTTCATATAATATATGCACACATGTCCACAAGTAAATATCCAGTGCAAGAGATCTTGTGTCAGTGTGAGGCTTTGTGGTGAAATAGTCACCTTTTCCATGTTTGTCCTCAGAGTGAGGGGTGCCGGGTAATGCACTAGATTTTTGTGTTGCTGAGCTATTCTGTCCTCAGGGATTCGTTCAAGGTACAACCTTATTTTATCTTCTGCTAATTCAAAAGTAGGTTAATAAAAATACGGAAATATTGCTCTAAAATGCAAGTTATTTATAAACCCACTCTCCTGCAGTGCCAATTAACAGGACACTGAGCAAGAACTGCTTAACTAGCATGTACTAGGGGGGAAGAGTAGTTATAGTAGGGATATATTCTTTGCCTTAAGCCTGTACTGTTGGAGTGCCACTTTCATTAAATATTACATTCTTTCTTGGCTTAGAAATTGGACAGAAACTTTGTGTTAAATCAGCAAGTGGAAAAAGTGAATTTGTTCCCCACTGTAAATGTGCACAGTACCCCCACTGTATATTTCTTTGAGTGCTGTATATGAAAGCAAAGTTTGGCCATTGGGTGGGTTTATAAAGTGATTCATAAAAAGTAGATGGCAATATTTTCTAAGCATATGGTTTAGTTGAGGCATTTTGAGGTGCAAAGAAAACTTTAAGTTAAATATGTGGTTGCTTCCTTAGCCTAAATTTCCATGCACCCTAACTGGAAGAAATAGGCTGTATTTTATGGGCATCTTCTATCAGAAGGATATTTTAACTTTGGAATTAACTATTTTTTTTAACCAAATTAAATTCAGATGAGTGCTGTCTATTTGAACACTTTGTTTTTCAAAATTGCCTCAGATGTTTTTAAATAATCAGAATTGAACAACAGAAACTTTGTGTTGCACATACCACACAAGTGCCAAAAATGTGTGTTCTGAGTGGGAAATGGCTTGATCTGTCTCTCACTTTGATCCGATAATATTGGTAGGTGAAGGTTAAAGAACAAAACTAATCTTTTCTCAGTTGTCTTACCTGCTTTCTATTTCCTAGTGGTGTTAGGTTGCTGAACATAAACTGAACACTGCCTATGTATGAGAGAGGATAGACTTTTCTTTCCTCTGTCATTTCTGAACAGCTTCTGACATTCTACTTCTCATCTTTAAAAAAAAAAAAATCATAATAAAGAATTCTAATTAAATGATTTTCTTGAATAGGATGTTTGGATCAGGCAGAGAACACAACTTTACACGTCCTAATGAAAAAGGAGAGTATGAAGTTGCTGAAGGAATTGGGTCCACTGTGTTTCGTGCCATTCTGGTGAGTTGTTACAGGGAGGGGAAAAAGGCAGGGGAAAGTACTGTTAGATCAAATGCCATGAGTATAAAAAGAATGTAACCTCTTGATTTAACCTTACTTTCATATATGAGCTTTGTGGATGGATAACAGAAGAACAGAAATACTGTTCTTTGAAGGGATGGAAAACAGAGTGTTGAATAAAAACATTCCTAAGTATATGTTTGAAACAAAAAACAAACAAACAAAACCCAACAACAACTACAAAATTAAACCACAGCATATTGTGAATTTCAGCCTAGGAAGAACACGGCCCCTTACACATTCCATATGCAGAAAGATGTAGAGGTGCTATACTATGAAAGAACCAGAATAACAAAAATATGGATGATGTATAGGTAAAAGATAATACACATGCACAAAAATGGTCAATAGTAATAGTTGTCATTTAAATAGCAATTTTAACTGGAACGTTAACTGGAGCTGCTCCAAAAGCAGCTACATCAGAAGCTGGATTATAGCTGAAGACAATAATATTCACAAAGTTTAATGTGTGTTTTGCTCACTCTAAAACTAAGTTGGGGAAGGCCTGTGGAGAGCCTTATAAATGTTCAAGTGTTTGTCAGTGAATATTGTCAAGGGCATTGAGCTTCTTGTTTATGGCATTGCCACAGGATTACTACAAGACTGGAGTGATACGCTGCCCTGATGGGATATCTATTCCCGAGCTGAGAGAAGCGTGTGACTATCTCTGTATCTCCTTTGAATACAGTACTATTAAATGCAGAGACCTCAGTAAGTATGGATTTTTTTTTAAGTTATGAGGATGATACAGTGCTTGAGATAATGAAATGAAGCAGCAGGAGCATGCATTTTTCTGCTGTACTCAGCTCTGATGAATACTTAAAATCTATTGATGTATTTGCAGCACAGATATCACAAACAGCCAATAGTGTTTTTGCAGAGGAGGGAGAGGATAATTTGTTCTACTCTTTGCTTAAGAAGAGTAAGCTCTGTTGCTGGCAAAAGTTCAGCTCTGCTGGTGCATCACTTCCAAGTGTGTAGCATCTCTCCGACACTTTTGTTCCCTGAACACAGCCGAAGTCTTGCTGAAGTTTTAGACTGACCTGGCCTGGGTCTCAGATCTTGTTGTCTCGTGCCCTTGTGCCGGCCAGTGCCGTGGCTGCCCAGCAAGGCGGTCTCTGCGACTGCAGCCGTGAGCTCCGTGCCGCGAGCGGTGCCTCCTCTGCCCGCCGGGCTGTGACCTGCTGTCACCTCGTCGTGCTGAGTCACACTCTGCACGCACTTCGTCCTTTGCAGAAGGCTTTGGCAGCTCATATTGAAAGTCTCCGTGTTTTGAGGCTGCTGCTTTCCTTTAGGAAACTTGAGAGAGTCTTGCATGCAGTCACCAAATGTTTAGCAGTGGTGAAACACTCGGGAGATGTAGTCAGTGCTGCTGGAAGCACTGCACTGTCTGCCCGAGAGAATGCTAGTACCTGCAGGACAGCCCTATCGGTCTGAACTGCTGCGGTGATTCTGGTAAACATCAGGAAAAGTTCGGGTGTTAGGCAAACAAACAAACTAAAAATGTATTTTCAGCTGGCTACAGTAAATAATACAAAAAGCGAACTGCTATTTTTCCTTTCATTTCTTTACCAAAATTTCAAATGTGCTTACATGTCTAACCTTTATTTCAGGTGCTCTCATGCATGAATTGTCAAATGATGGTGCTCGCAAACAGTTTGAGTTCTACCTGGAAGAAATGATTCTCCCATTAATGGTAGCCAGTGCTCAGAGTGGTGAACGGGAGTGCCATATTGTTGTGCTGACAGATGACGACGTGGTGGACTGGGATGAGGAATATCCCCCGCAAATGGGAGAGGAGTATTCCCAAAGTAAGGTTGTTTCTGTGGTTTTCACTGAGCCACACTGTAGTGAAGGTGGCAGTAGTAGACAAGCTGCCTTTCCTAACAGTGCTCGTGAATGAGTTAAGTCCTTACAACATCCCTATTGCTTCACAAACATTTAGTTTTGGAAGTTTGCGTAACATTTTGCTTCATTTAAGCATATGTTGCATGCTACATTCAAGTTCAGGTCAGGAGGAGGAACTAATCTTTATTTTTAAGGCATTGTTAGTCAATGGTGGGGGAGAAGAAGGAAATAAGTTCCGAAAAAGCTTGAAAAGAAAAGCTGGATTGGAATTTTGTTTACCATGGGGAACAACTAGTGCTTTGAAACACCAAGTGAGCTTCCGCTAGTGCTTTGGGAATGTGACAGCTTGCTCTGTAAATGGGTTAAAGCACCTGTTAATGGAGAGCCCTTCTCTGCATGTACTTTATCCTTGTAGCTGGAAAGGTCTCTCCAGTATGAAAACTTGAATTTTAGGATTTTGAGAAGTCAGGTGGGAGCTCGAGATGCCCTTTGTGCTACAGTAGCATAAAATTCTCTTAAAAGCTTTATGGGTGGCTAAGTTCTGCCACTTAAGAGGATCGTAAGACTTTTGGAGGATCCTAACCTACCGTTATGCAGCATCCCTCTGAGGGGACAGTAGGTGCAAATATAAATAAAATACGGCACTCTCAACCTAGTGACACAGCTGGCTCAGGTTGCTCAGACCTTCATGTCTCAAATGTGAGTTAGTTAAAAATTCCTTATACCCTATGTAATTAGCCAGGTGCATACTTGCCTTTTTAATACTTTTCTTACAAGATTAATGGCCCACATTCCTTCAAGTGCTATATATAAACTAGTTTTATTGGACTCCCTCTAGCTCTGCTTCATGTCTCTTGGTTTTTTGAATCTGATTTGTCCAGAACTCAGATCTATCTTTTCTGTAATGGCAGATGGAATGAAGAGGTCTCTGAATTGCTGCAAGAGGAGCCCCTTCTTCCCCTCACATGCGAATGATAGGGGAAAAAAAAAAAAAAAAAAACACACACAAAAAAAAAACCCCATAACAAATCAAAATAAAAAAAAAAAACCCAACCCTGCCCTGTGCAGCCACCCAGCTTCCCAGGGCCTTCAGCCGTTTCTCTGACTACTGTCTTAGATATTGAGAACTTCTTAAGTGTGTCTTTGTCTCTCTCTCCTCCTTGTTCTAAAATAAAAAATATTTGATTAAAACAGTAGGAACGAGATCACAATATCTTTCTGTGTAAGAGTGGAAGTTTAACCTTTGAATATAATTTTTCTCATTAAAATATATTTTTAGTTATTTACAGCACAAAGTTGTATAGATTCTTCAAATACATTGAGAATAGAGATGTGGCCAAATCGGTTCTGAAGGAAAGGGGGCTCAAGAAGATCCGATTGGGCATTGAAGGTAAGAACAACTTTGCTTCTAAACTGACTTTGGAAGAGGCTCTGTTTCACTTCCCTTTTTTATGATCAGCTTCAAAGCTGAAGAAAGCTGGATTGCTACTGTCATAGTGAGGCTAGATGATACAGGGGAGAAAACAGGGGCATGGCACCCACGAGGCAACTAGTCCCACTGGAAAACCTCCTTTCAGGCTTGTGGCTGGTCTACAAACCGTTTCTCACTAAACTATATGTTACAGTCTCGGTGGCTAAGATTGAATAGAGCACAGTTGGTGTCTGGTTCCATTTAGGGTGCTCATGGTGACAAGCACCAGTCCTCCCCATGCTTCAGACATTGTCTTTCTGTCGCAGAGAGGTACAGATGTTAACCTTTGCTATTCCCTGATGTTTCTTAGGTTACCCTACGTACAAAGAGAAAGTGAAGAAGCGCCCAGGTGGAAGGCCAGAGGTGATTTACAACTATGTCCAAAGACCATTTATTCGGATGTCTTGGGAGAAGGAGGAAGGAAAGAGTCGGCATGTTGACTTTCAGTGTGTGAAAAGCAAATCTATTACAAATCTGGCAGCAGCAGCAGCAGATATACCCCAGGACCAGCTTGTGGTAATGCATCCTACCCCCCAAGTAGATGAGTTGGATATTCTGCCTATTCATCCTCCACCTAGTAACAGTGAGATGGATACTGAGGGACAGAACCCAGCACTCTGATGTAGCCTTGTATTAAAACTAAAGCATGCTACTTAAAATGACTCTGTACTCGACTCATACTACACTGCAAGTCCAGTCTTCTCCATTGTGTAACAGTGTTTAGGATATTGCAGTATGGACCTTTTAAAGACCAAAGGGAGTATCTGATTGTTTTCTAAGAGTACAGAGAGGAGCATCCTGCGGTTACAGTTACATACATGTATTTGTTTACCAGTAGGTTTGTGACATTGGGTATTTGTATGCTGGACTGTCCTCACTCTAAGCCCATCAGAAGCGCGGGGGGGGGTTGGTGGCTAGTGTGCATTCGATGTCGTTACACGTGGGCTACAAAGCAGAATTGGAACTGATAGTAGCACTTTATAAATGGTTGATAAATGGAAGTTCAAGCCATTTTTTATAATGTATTGCACAATACTAACAAAGTGCTTCTATCAAAAGTGTTAACTGTAAATAGTTTTGCTCTGACTAGATCAACCCTTTTAAAGTTACTGTATATGGTTGAGCACAAAAATACTATTCCTGGGTTTTTGGATTGAGGACATGATTCAATGACCCATTTAACATCTTGTTAAACTCCAAGTTCTTCGGTGAATTTTTTCACTTGTTTGCAGAGTGAGCCATGTTCAAAAGTTGTGAACAACGGATAGGGGCTTTATCTTAAACTTTGCCTTACCTTAATCTGTTCACAAATATTTATTTACTAAATTTTTCGTAAGTGTCATGAAATAGGAAAATACAAAAGGTTCATTCTTCATTTATTAATGATTGTAAACAAGTTTTTCATTCAAATAAAATTTCCATTATTTTAATTGGTTTGAAGTATCTGTGAATAAGATTAAGAATGTGATGAATTTTGAAAATAGCTGCGCTTTGCTTTTTTTATGGTGGTTGGAGAGCACTTAGATTGTTATTTAATATTTTGGGTGGAAAACAAGTATTGCTCCATATTAAAAAGAAATCTGTGGCACTACCAGACTACTACCTTAACTAGCCTTTCTGTTGCAATTTTTTTTTTTTTTTTTTTTTTTTTTTGCTTAAGCTCAGAAACTGAGCAAGTAGTAACTTCTCTAGAAAAATACTGTGTGTGATGAGCAAATGCATTGGGTAAGGGAAGGCGGTGTTTTTCTACCCTTTTCTCCCAAAGAAAGAGAGGAGGACAAAATATAAATAGGCAACTACTTCTAGCATGCACCTTCAGCAGGGTTTTATCAAATTTATTTATCAAAGTAAATGCTCCATTTTAGAACAAGGGAAACATTTATTTTAAAAATATTTAACTGTCTAATACATTACACTTTAACAATATTTATAGTAAAGGAATTCTTACAAGAAAGAATAAACAGCTTTATGGTACAATTAGTATAAGAAATATCCACATGGGGACTGTTTTGCAGTGTAAAAACACACCATACATCTGAAATGGTCATTTGCATATAAAAGCTACCACTGATGCCAGTGAGTTGCACAGTGATTTTAAAAAAATTCCAACAACAGAATCCAAAATATACAAGTAATGCAAGCTATACACAGCTAACCAAATCCACACAAACACTGTAGCGGGTTATTCCACATTGTCTGACGTTACACATGGTAGGATGAGTTGCGTTCCGATATGGCTTTTATGAAATTCATACATAAAAGCTTCTCCATCCAACAAGTTTCACAGACTGCAGAACTCCACCAATAAATGCACTTTGATATTTGGATGTTGAAGCGAGGTGCATCATTTACAAGGGCCATGGCAAATCACTGAAATCCACGGGGCCCCCAAGACCTGCATCTGCTTCAAGAAGGCTCATGATTACGGCCATTGCTGCTTCATCGTTGCTGGGGCTGCTGGATCCTTGATCGTTGTCAATCATATCGATACCTATGTGAGAGTTCTCCCCTGTCAGCAGAAATACAGTAAGTTGTCACAAGTCCAGACTTATTTTATGACTTTATTTGCAACAGTCACTTGCTGCACAACATGGAATAAAACAGACTGAACTATTCTCTGAGTATTAGTAGGTTTGAGGGCCAGCTGGTCACAGTTTTAGGGATACTGTTAACCTAGGAGTTACAAATACAAAGGTTAAGTGACCAGTATACCTGATACAGATGCATTAATGCTCAGGAGTCAACTTAGTCTTTCTTATTGTCTCCTGCTATTTAAAAGCATTCAAGAGAAGTAGAGGAGTTCACCTTACACACTCCTATTCAGCAAGAGAAAACAGGCTTGCAAGCACTATCTTTTAAACTGACACGATAAAGCAACTTGGACTATAAATAGATCATCAGGCTACTCTTCTAACCATCCTTTTAGACAAACCTAAAGTACTAAGTTGTGAGCTTTTATTCTTCAAGTGAGACAGATGGTAAAAGAAAGCTATTGCTAAAAGCAATCATCTTGTTACAATCATCTCTACAGTTATCATGGGTTTAGTTGTTATTGATTTACGTTATTTGGTGTCCTTGCTTACCAAGAATAGAGGAGCTGTCAGAATAGGGGTAACCAGAGTTATCCTGGATCTGCCCAGACAGTAACCCCGCTGAAGGAATGTCTGGAGTGCCACCATTCAAGATCTTAAAAGAGGAAACAGAAGTTGTACAGCAGCATGTTATATTACAGCTTAAGATTTAAGATATTGTTGAACACCAGGAACTAGCTACTTAAGCCCCACTTACCTGGTCCCAGTGTAGAGGCTTTTCAAGTTTGCTTTCCAAATAAGGATAAATGGTGGAGGAATATGGTATCAGACATACCCAACTCCCCATATGATTTAAGGGGCAGTAGCCCTGATCATAGGCAGGTGCTGAATTATCGTACAGCAGAGGAAGCGTGAATGATTATTCCTAGAATTACAACCCTTAACTTACTACAAATTCAAGTTTCCTTCAAGTACAAAGTAGGCCACAACAGAAGAAAATATTCAGCGCAAACTGTATGTTCCACTGAAACCATTTTTAGGCATAGTCATGTTAGTTTCTGGGAAAAGGAAGCAAGTCAGTAGCAGGGTTTGAATGCACAGAATAAGAATTTGGGTAAGTGTTCTTCTTGCCTTGAATATGACAACTATAAGCAGCAATTTGCTAGATCACTTAAGAACTTGAACTAGCTGCTTTTAAGCATTCGTAATACTCCAGCAACCTTAGCACAAAGCATGATGTACTGTATTGATTTAAAAAAAATAACTTGCCACTGCACTGTGAGACACCTAATTGTCACACTTTGTGCTGCAGCAGTACAGTAAAGCCCTTGTACAGCATTAGACATAACGGGAATAGAGTGAGTGCTCCAGCAGTAACAATTCCAATGTTCACCAGTGTGTGGTGTGAGCGAGTTTTTGGAGGATCAAGAGACATGAAGGTGAGCAACTTAGAACTTGCAGTTCGGCTAAAAAATAAAAATCAGGGGAAATCGAGGAAGCAGGAAGATCTCAAAAGCTGTCACTATTTGAGAAGCACCAGTTCCGCACTGTACGGACCACTACATCAAGAAACCTGGGCCATGGCCAGGCTGTGATTTGCTGTCACTGACTCCTTCAGCTATGTGGAGGAGCTCCACACACAGGTAATTTTATAACCTTTCTGTCACGCTGCTCATCACGGTTGTTGCATGTCTATTTGTAGTGTTCCTTCTTACCTTCTTGCCTCCCGGGGATGATGTATCGGGTGGGGGGGTGCTGGTAATATTCAGTGGACTTGAACCACAGCTAGAAGGCGACGATCCTCTTATCCTGTCATATGGATAAAAACAGGGAATGATATTGTCAGTGAGTGGCTGGACTCAAGTAACAGAGAATTGGCTTTTCAAATGCCAACCCTTACTATCAGGTGGTTAAAAGCCTAGAATTCACTGTTGTGGTTTCACTACCTTTTCGCTGTTACGCAAGTCAGCAGCAGCAACGTTTGAAATTGCAGGCAGATCATTTTAGTTTGCAGCTAGGTTAACAACAACAGTTTACACGTACATTGTCCAGCTCACTCAGCCTGCAAGCTCTACCTCCTCCCACTCACCTTTTATTTGTTGCTCTTACAACCTTCCCAGAGCATCTGCAAGGAACAAATGCTAGGTATTTTTTAACCAAAAAGAGCTGATCTCATTTTTTGGGTATTGCTTCAATTTATACCAGCTAGGACGTTAGCCAGCATCAACCATCCTAACCTAGACCCCTTTGGTGAGCTACCACTACAGAAAAGACACCAGACATGATACAATTTACTTAAAATAAAAAACCCTCAAAGCAGCATTTTTTAGTTCCATTTCCCTCAGCTTCATCAAATATCAATCTTTTAATAATGAATAACATTATCTGTAGAATCAACAAAGCTCTTGACTAAATGGAGGAGGGGTAGTTACAGAGAACAGCAATAGAAATGGGAATCCTATCCTTGGCAGAGTTCCCCTGGGAAAGCTGAACAGAAGGCAGCCTTGGAAAATAGTAGCAGCTGCTGAAAGAGGACTGGAACTGACCCAGGGTCTTTAAATTAAAGAAAAGCATGGGAGGGTGAACTACATTCACTGCAGCTAATTAAAGAGTTTTACAGCTACTAAAAGTAATGGGAAGTTTTAAAATCTTGGTTCAACCTGCCGTTTTCTTTTAAAGTGTGTTTACAGACAAGAAAAATGCCAGTCCTTAAGGGGCCAGGTTAACTGCTTCTCTGCCTAACTTTTAGGTAGTCTCCGGCCTGCAGCAGGAAGAAAATTACGAGATGGATTTGAGTTTTCTTCCTGAACTGCAAGCTCAGGGCTGCTAATACCACTGAACATTTGCTTGATAGGACTGCTTTTATGGTCAGGGGACCAATTCTTAGAAAAGCACATTTATTTTTGTTAGTTTTTCTTTTTAACTTCTATTTCTGGTAAAAAAGATAATTATCATCTTAAAAAAAGTTTCAATTTTAGTCCTTTTAGATTAGAAACGTGGAAGGCTGTAACTTTTTCATTCTTTCTCTGTGGGCTTCGAGTGCCTCAAGCATGCAGGTAGCTGTCTGCTTGCAAAGCATAACTGTGTCATTCTATATTCAGCTTGAAGAAAGGCTTCCTTCCTTTCCTTAGCTTGTTTTTTACACATCCACTTCTTTAACTTAATACCATTTCTCTTACCTGTGAATTTCCATGATTTCCTCAGCAATCATCCTCCCTATTTTACCAGCCCCAGCTCTTGTTCCACCTGGAATTCCAGGGACAGTGGGATGGGTCCTTTTGGGGCCACCTGAAACATGCAAGTATCTTAAGATCAGATAAAAGCTTGCAACACTTTTCCACAAAGCAAAAAAAAGCAAAACACTTGTGTGTAAGCATGAGAGGGTCCCTCAGCTTGTCAGGGCCACATTTACAGAATAGATTTACATTTCCACTGGCTGGTGAGTGTCTTCAAACGCAGGGAATGCGCCATCCTGCCCTGGGGCCAGGCTCTGCTATACCTCTCAGACATCCATCTGGGCCCTGCATGTACCTACTCTCAGGTACGTGTGTTCTGACTCCTGCAGAATCTGCCTCTTCAGAGCATCTGACAGTATCTCCTGCCCAGCCTGTAGGGAACAGCTCACTACACGCAGTCAATATGGAACGAAGTTGGGTTACTCAATGAACCTTATTTAAGCCCCTGCAGGTTATTGGAGAAAAGGTGAGCTCTGGGCATTTAGAAGT